AGTCATCCATTAAAATGATATGAGTAGTTCATTTACGAATAAATTCAATTACATAAATAAATAAATTCATTTAAATATACAAGATCAAAATGCTTACCATTGCCCTTCCAATATTCATTCTGTTTTCTTTTATTTAATTTAATTAATTTTTAGTGTACAATTTTTATGTTTCATATTGTAGACAAAATAACGAAAACATATATTAAAAAAAGCATTTGACATATTTTAAAAGTCATACTAATTTTTTTCAACCACCCTTAATGCTGTTTTTTTACAACTCTGAAAGAAAAAACTACGACTATAGGTAAAAATTTAAAAAAGTGAATACACATTCATAATCATTACCAATACTCTGGACTTACAAAATTAATGTGACGTTACTTTTTCACACTAACAGAGGCAGAAGCGCAAAATGTGCAGAAAATTACATTTTTAAATAAATTTCGTAGAACAAATTTGGCAGAACACAGAATATATGCGTGGCTGGTTTACCACACAATGTTTATTTCTTACTGCTAATGAATTATTTACAAACTTAATGTTAATTATTTATACGACAATGAAAAATAAATTAAAGTAAAATTGTGTTTTTGATTCTTTACAAACAGTGGTTATTAACACGTGGCACGTCGTTGAAACAAAACTTCTTGACTAAAAAAGGCACAGTGCTATCTTCTTCTTCTCTGCTTGGTGCTGAAGTTGATTGTTATGCAAACTGGATTATTTTTGGGACTAGAGTATGTGTGTGGCGTATTCGCCACATATATAAGAGAAAACTATGAAAAAGGTGTGTTCATTTCGATTCAAAAATTTGTCATTAATTTAAAATGCAACCCTGTTCGATTTTGTATGACATAAAAGGTCTCCTTTAGTCTCCAAAACTTTGCTTATGACTTTGACACTCCGAAGAGTGAAGCTTGTCAATTTTGTACCTAAATTGGTTGCAATAATATTTTAAGTCATATATTTTGTTAATATTTAGAAAATAAAATATAAAATTGCAGACATTTCATATATTTTTTATTCGAAATGAGTACGGGAAAAGAATTCGTGGTTTGCCGTACGTGTCTAACTCAGTGCAGTGACGATTATAAATCAATACATAAACAAGGCATCATATTGGGTGAAATTACAACATTAATAGAGATATTAAGATTTTGCACCGATATAGAGTACCTCGCTGACGACCCATCTTTCCCAACACATATATGTAAACTGTGTTTGCAAAATTTAGTGAGATCGTATTCCTTCAAAAAACTAGCAATTGAAACAAATGAAGCTCTACATAATCAAAAACAACAGCTTGCTTGCAGTGAAGATCCACATTCAATGAGTGAGTATGTGTTTGAAGAGCAGCAGTACCTTGAGGAAAACGGTGAGGCAGAAGAACTACAAGAATTAGCAAATGCTGCACAAATGAGACAATCCATAGAAAACGTGAATGATGCCAGTTATGTTACCTTGTCAGTCTTGCACAACTCTGAAGATGAAGAAGAACCAATGGAGTTCAAAATTCAACGTGGCGAAATAATCGATGATGGAGACGTGTATTTGCAAGAAATTATAGAACGCCATGATGGCAACACGGAAAATGAAGAAGAATACATGATCCAGTCAGCCGATGATAATATGTCTGAGGAGGCTTTCGAACCAACATATGATGATGATACTATGTCGACTGAAAATAACGAAACCGATGATACAAGTAGAAAAATACGAAAAATACTAAGATCGGATAATAAAATATCAAGTGATACTAACAACGACAATGGTACATTGGTCAGAAAAAGAATTAAACGTGCTCATGGTCAATCAAGTGATCCGCTTTTCAAGTGCAAGGTTAGTGTTGGTTATAAATATTATTTTATATTAAAATAAATTTTCTTATAAAATCGTATCTTATAGATTTGCAAAAAACAGTTAAGCAATGCGAATTCGTTCAAATACCACATGCAATTGCATTCGGATCAGACTCCCTATTTATGTAGTATGTGCGGTGCAGGCTTTAAGACACGGAACGCTTATGATGGACATTTAATCACACATAACCCCAATAATCCAAACACTTGTAAGATATGCGGAAAAGCATATCGCCAATCGTCGTCCCTACGCACACATATGATGTCGCATACAGGTGAAAAACCTTTTCAATGCAACATATGCGGCAAAGGAATGACACAAAAATCTGGTTACAAGAAGCATATGTTAACACATACAGGCGAAAAGCCACATGCCTGTGATGTGTGTGGTCGAGAATTCCGATATTCCAGCAATTTATTTGCACACAAACGTTGTCACACGGGCGAGAAACCTTTTGAATGTGACAATTGTGAGAAATGTTTCCAAACAGCAGAACAAAGAAAACGACACCTACTAGTTCATACAGGTGAGAGGCCATTTAGTTGTGATATATGTGGCAAATCATTCAAACGTCGCACCTCACTCATGACACACAAACAAAGCCACGAAGACGAAAGTGAAGAGCAAACTGCGTACATAGAGCAAAGAGTTTATAGATCAAACGCTGTAGAAGTTCTTTAAAAAACTAAATAAATTTTATTTAGAATTAAAGTAAAGGTAATTATAGTGTAAGTGTAAGTAACACTGCAATTCAAAAATCTATAATTTTTTAATAATACATAAAAATCTTACAGGTTCAGAGTTTTATCGCTTGGATTTCGTAGATAAGACAGCAACTTACTAATATTTTTTAATTTTAGACTTTTTGACATTTACTTTAAGACTTTTTATGTTAGTGCATCAATTATTTTAAAAAAAAATATTATAAATATATGTAATATATTACATTGAAATATATTTGTCAAATTTTTGAAAATTGTTTGTTTAGTCAATATTTGCCATATATGGTGTGTATTTAAATACTAGACTAGCTAAAACTAATAATTAGCTATACATATTTAGTTCGAAATAATAAACCAATTATAACAAATGCATACTTCTAAAATTATAAATTCAGTTATTTGAATCTCTTATAAACTCTCTTATATAAAGTATTTTATTTGACAGACTTATTATACTCATGCTGAGTATTTGGCAATATTTGAAGCAGTTGTATGGTATGTCATTAAATTTAATTAATTAAATTAAGCTTTTGTTGTTTAAATACTTCCATTTTTACTTCACACAAAATGAATATACAAATTATAACGCTAGCTACGGTTATAGCATAGTTATAGTTAAATTTTATTAGATATTTTTCATAATTTATTTTCAAACATATATCATTCGTATTAGGATATAAGAGTTACTTTGGAATGCTTGAAAACATTTTACAGGGAGACATCGTTTTAAAAAACTTTGCAAATGTGCATTATATCGGCAATTTTATTTAAGAATAAACAACTTTATACATTCTTCGCTTGATTTCTTTGAATACGCAAAAAATTCTATGCTGTATCATTTGATTAGCTCAGAAATAAGGATTAATTAATACATCTCCAGAATAATACCCGTTATTTACAATATCATTAAGTGTTTAAATATACCAATAAAATTTAAAGCATTGTTTATTTTTATATCCAAAAAATTGTGTATTAGTTTAGTAATTAAAGCTAAATATTTAATTAGTTAATTAAAAGAAATACTATTGACAATTTGTTTATAATGTCTGTACACACTTCTTTATCCGTATTCAATTCATAATTCCATACTTGTTTCTAACCAATAAAGCCGTTTCATAATCATTTTAAGACATAAAAATGCTATCGTAGCTATAAAAAAGAGAACTGATCTTGATCAGAAACTGATTTTTTGCTTTTGTTTATTAATCAATTCTCTTCATTAAACATAAGATTATGCTAAACCAGAACAACGCATTTAATATTAAATGCTTCATTAAACGTTTTTAGTTCATAAGAAATTTCTATCAAAACTATTGATTAAACTATATATATAAAAATACATATTCTTAATGTAGATATAACATCATGCGGTCAGTTCAAAAAACTAATTTAGTATATCCGAAATTTTATAAAGGTTTATTTTATATTTTATAAAAATTACTTCTTTCTCTGCTCCTGTATAATGAAAAAAAGAAAACAGAAATTTGTCGATATACGTGTAGAAATACACTAAAAATAACATTCGAAATAAAAGTTAAAAATCCAAAAAAGAAAATAAACGACTCTATCAGTCATATATATATATTTAATGGAGGCCCAACTAAAACCGAATATAAGTAAACATTCGCATCTTTTAATTTATTCTATTTGAATTGAAAATATTACAATTTGGGCAAAACTAACTAATTCCTTTAAGAAATTCACTTATGTTTTTATGTTAATAATTAAATTTTACCATCAATTAATGCCGATCCTACCCTTGTACAGCTCAGTTTTTCTTATAATATAAAAGCGGCTCAAACACCTTTAAACCATTATTACTTAAGACAAAGAACGAAAAATATTTATTTATTAATTTTATTATTTAGCACATTTAGTATTATTCGTTTATTTTAGCTTTCGAATATTAATTACAATTATATTTATTTAATGTTTTCATATATGCAAATGCATATATATATATATATATATGTGTGTACTTATGTAGATTATCAATTTTCTTAAGGTTAACATGTAATAACATAAATAAGAAATAAAAATAAAACTAAACGAAGAATTGCAGATGAAGTGTATTTATAATTAATTAGATATTTATAATACAGAATAAAAATGAAAAACCTTTTTTATTATCACAACAGAATTGTTTAATTTTATATTATATCCAACCTATTAAAAGTTGAAACGTCATATATGAATTCAAATTAAAATTAAGGTTACAATAGAAGTAAAAATCGCAATAACACAATATTTTGGGTTTGCATAGGACATTAACTAACAAATAATATAACATTTTTGTTTTATATATATTTTTTTTGTTTTTTTGGTTTTGGGGTTTTCAACACATTAAATATTTTAATTCAAAATAAAAAGTATTTTTACCTAAAGCCCATTTCTCCCACTCGTATTCGTTCGCGACTGTCGCCACGCTTAATGTACCAATTTTTTTCATTAAACTGATGTTCATTTTGTCTCCTAGCATTTTCACGATGATGCATAAGTTTGTCATGCCAGTCACTATCGTCTTTATTGTGACGTTCGCCAGATGATCCTTTATAGCGACGTTGTTTATTGTATTTGTGATTATTATCGTTGATTTCACTTTTATCGTGCTTAAATGAGCGCTTTCCGAAACGTTCGTCTGAATCATCGTCGTCATCATGATCATCGTAAGCCTCATGACTTCCTCTGCGCTTATGAAATTGAGATTTATTATGCTTTTCATTGCTTTCTCGACTGTCACGTTCTCTAGAATTGTCTACAGATTTTCTCTGCTTTTCTGAAAAATTTTCATTCTTTCTATAATCATCTCGACGTTCCATTTGTTTCCTGCGCCATTCTTGGCTATTTCCATTAAAATTGTCATTTTCCGGATTATTATTATTAGCTTTTTGTGTGTCTACGTTAGGAAATTGCTCAGTTTCTCTTTTTTCAACAAAAACGCTCTTCTTCTTTAAACCATCAAGTCTTTCTGCGGAATTTTTAAAAGATTTAAACTTATTTGAGTTCTCCGGCAGATCATTCATCGTATCACCATTTTGTTTCATTGATGGTTTTCCACTTGCTTGTGTTTCTACACAATTGTCTGGAGTTTCAACAAATTTACCATCTCTGCATTTATATGGACGTTTTAAGTCGTCTTCACTAATTTCGACATTTTCAACCTTGCCATCATTTTCTTGCCACACTCTGAAGTTTTTACTTTTGGTTTCCATTTGCCCAGCACCATTTCGTTTATAATTTTGGTGCTGTCCGTCTCTGCCATTACCAGTTTTATCATTAACATTGCTTAAATAATTGACTTGTTTTGTAAGTAAATCAATTTCAGCACGCATTAAATTATTTTGCAACTCCAAATCAGTAAATTTTTGCTGCAATTGTGCAATGGATTTATCAGATTGCAGGGGTGGCCATTCCGGATTACGTAACTTACCAACAAATGCCAGCAAGGCCAAAGCAACGCCAACATAAAACATAACTGTCAGACCACGTCTTACAATTGGATGATTCTGTATTATTGTCATTATATCACCTTTCAATGGTTCCACAGCATTTTTATTACCTATTTCTTCAGTATTGGAGTCATTACTTGAAGAGCGTTGTCTCAACTGATTTTCAAAGTTGACCACTGTTGGCAAAAGTGGTGAATTTGGTGGTGTTAATTGTGGTCGAACAGTGCCAAAATCAACACCAGTGGCAAATTTCAAATTCAAATTACTAAGTTGTTCGCGTAGATAAGGATTTGGAGATATACGTCCAGCGCTCTCACTTTCACTAATTACTGATATACCATCCGATAGATCATCTGTGCTGGAATCGTGTTCAGGTTTAGGTCTATAATAGTTATTTTATTATTCAAAAGGAAATTAATTCGAAAACTTTAATTATTATCTTACATTTTTTGATGTTCCTCCTCCACAACTTTATGCTTAACCTCGCCCTTCTCCGACACTTCATCCAGTTTATCCAAATCTTCTACGCGATTATTTTCATTTTCTGTCGTTTTGATTGTAGTTGCAGGTTTGGGAGATTTTTCTTTAGTCTTCTTTTTATCCGTTACTAATGTCCAGGTTTCAAATACTTCCGATTCGGAACTCGTCGTAATCGCTTCATCATTACTACTGGGTGTGGGTGGGTAGTTTTTTGAGGGGCTTGCTTCTTCGTTACTCATACTGTATCTAACACTTTATATCTGCAAGTACAAATAATTGTTAGTTTATTATTCGTTTTATCTTATCCGTAATAATTAGATAACTCAAAACTAGCGAAATTTGCATAGAGCATGTGAGCGTGTACGAACTGTTTATCTTCGTCAAACAAAGTCAATTTGTCTTTATGTTCTACAAGAGCTGCTACACGTTGGTGTTTACTATTCAAACTAAAAATATGAAACGCATAAATATACTTTGTGCCTAAGAGATCAAGCATGCCTCAGTATTTCTTTGCATTCTTTGTTTAAATAATTTCATTTTTACAAACTTTGTGAATTTCTTTGTTGAGTTCAACTGCAAGTATGTCTAGTACTACATTTGCAATTAAAAATCTATTTTTGAAATGAGAAATTATTGCAGTTGGGAAAAGGTAAAATGATTGCCATAAATTAAAAAATAACTTATAGAATTATTCTGCAAAAAAGTTGTTAATAACTGACATTCGTTTAAGCATCAACTAGTTTCACTTCAATAGAGGATTAAACACCAGTTATTTAAATATATTACACCTGAATAATTACGTTAGGATAACAAACGTTAAACGCTGAATGACGAGGGCGATTTGATAAGTCAGTGACTTTTTGAATTTCCCGCACAGTTACTCCAAAAGCAACAGTGCTGCTGTCAGCTGTAATCTACCAGTGGGCAACTTTTTAATTTTGAGCAAACTACGTCGTTCAGTTGGTGTTTGATAGCTGTTCAAAGCAGACAACCTCGTGCATTTTTACGAAAATGGAAAAAAGTGAATTTCGGGTGCTGATTAAGCATTACGATCCCAGCATATTCTCCAGATTTAGCCCCCTGCGACTATTTTCTGTTTCCAAACCTAAATAAATGGCGGGCGGTAAGAGATTTGAGTCGAATGAAGAAGGCATTACCGAAACAAACGTGTATTTTGAGACCTTTGAGAAAACCTCTTATTTGAAGGTAATAAGAAAATTAGAAAAACGCTGGACTAAATGTATCGAGTTAAAAGGTGATTATCTAAAAAAATAAAATAAAAGTCACTGACTTATCAAACTGCCCTCGTATAACAAATATATAAATTTATAAATTTTGTCATATTCTTGTCTCACAAATTATATTCCTAAAAAATTTTTTGAATACTATGTTTTTGTAGTCTGCAGAAATCTGTAAAGCTACTATAAAGCAGCAGAATGTGGATGGGTGATGGTTTTGTGAATAAAGAAGGGAAGTGGAAGTGGATTAAAGAGGGTATGGAATTTAAATTGAAATCAACTATGATCAAGACGGCGAAACCTAAATAATACTAAATACGATAGTACAGTTTAGTGTACTCTAAAAAACAAGCATCACTATTTGATCTACAATACACGTTGTCTTTTAATCAAATGTTTGAAGCACTGAAATATTTCTTCACAATTAGAACAAATTATAGAAGCTATATGTAAAAGGTTCAACAATCAAAAAATCAAACTTATATTCTGTAGTATTCAAAACCAGATTATTCGTCAACATATCTTAATGCCGATAATAATGGCAATATAGTTTAAATAGTTGTTTTTGAACACATTTTAAAATGGGTGAACAATATTTAATCACCTGAAAATTCAGCTAAATTTTTCTGAATGGGCACTCATGAGGAAGAAAACAAGACTAAAAATTTTAACGTTAACATTATAATTAAAAAATGTAAATAATTTAAGAAAATATCCCACATATTGATGATTAAAAATTTTGTACTGAATACAGAGTTCTCTGTAAACGATAAACATAACATCATTCTAATAATAATAATAATATTTTAAGGTAATGGACCATTTGGTCCATTTTATAGCCAATATAAATATTGTATAAAAAAATTTGTACTAATTTGTCTTTCTATTAGTAAACAAACAAGCCTGTCAGTATCTAAGCTTATCGAATAAACCTTTTTAGAGTGTTTTGTTAATGTTGTTGGGTCCCTCATAGAAGCTTTGCTTTTTGAGTCCATGTTGGGAGGGCAAAATTAGGATTTTTTTAAACCAGGTATGTGAAGTCAACAAAGAAAAGAGATTGTTCAACATTATAAACTAGCCATACAAAATAACTACGGAAAATCAGTTTTTCTTTCTAAATATTTAATGTATTATATGTTTAATAGAAATTATATATTACTAAAAAATAGAACTCAAAATGTATGAGAAAATTTATTAATTTAGATTCAAATAAGCTATATTTTTATATTTTTTATAAGAGTTTCGTGATTTTAATTTTTTTTATATTTTATTGCAGTTATTTTATTTTGTATACATTTATGGATTAATGATACTACGATACTCTTCAAAATTCTAAATTAATTACTGAATTGTTGCTATTATCTGTATGTTATTATCATCATATAGAATGCTATCTTTGACATCCAATTAATACGCTATATAAATATAATGAAACATATTTTGTCAACAAAGAGAAATACAATAACAAAATACAATGACAATAACAAAACAATTCCAGGAATCAATAGCTATAAACACCCAAAAGCTTAAATTGATTTTCACCTCAATTTAATAACGTTTCTGAAAGTTTATTGCCAGTAACATATTTTACTACAACGACCCGTTTTAAGAGACTATACTAGGTTGTAATATCACATTTCAACGTATATGAAGTTATTTCGATATGCAGTAATAACGATTACGTTATTTTTTTAAAATTTCTATAGCATACTTGAGCAATAGAAGAACTGAAAACTAGATAAAAGGATGCCGGCGATTATCTATGAATGTTTGTTTCTTCAAAAACCATCATAGGTCTTTAAAATTTTAAATCATTACTTTTCTCTCAAAGAATTAGTTTAAATGACGACCTGGTGTCGCTTAAAGATATGGAGACGGTGTGTCGCAATTTTGATCTGTGGTCTTTATTAAATTGTATTAAAAAACAGTTTGCTAAGTTTCTCCATTGTAACGTAATGAACATATAGGCGGAATTGGTCATAAACTCGCTCTTACACCTCATAATATAATAAAATATTTATAAAATTAGTATGGATTTACCTCTATATACGGTAACACAATCGACCAATAGACCTAAGTGTATTGCCTACAAATTGCCGGTATAACCTAACGTAACCTAGTATGGGTTTAAAATTAAACTTTTTATATTTTCTACAATATTACAATGGATCATTCGACCTAAGTTTTAACGTACTTTATTGACCAAGCCTGTAAAACATGTACCTACATGTACTTTTAATTTAAATAGTGTTTCGGACTTCTGTATTTCTGTTTCTGTTTCTATTTTTATTAAATTAAATTTGTATTATCTATCATAAAGTAAATATTGCGAATGTAAAGCAATTTATTTTCTAATTATTTTTGTAAGTTATAGATATTTTATTGTGATATCATTAATACGTTAATATATATTTCACAACTACTGCAGTATATTGTACTATTTTATATATTATTAATTTAATTAGATAATTCAACGATAATTTATTTATTACTTTTAGTATTTTAGTATTAACATAAATAAAATTAGGTGCTCAGGCACAAATTTTAGGTACCCTATATTCAGTCGATCAGAAAAGGGTCTACGCAGGTATACTCTTATTTATTTATTTACAAGTCAATATGCGATAAAGCGCTAAACTACAATAAAAGAAAAGGACATTAGCTGCCATGGTCATCAACTATATTAACAATATTATAATCGTACATGAATTTATTATAAATTAGAAAGAAAATAATAATATGTATTAGGGTATTAATATTATTATATGCGATGAAATAAATTAGTAAGTTGAAAGAATATGTTCGTTTTCTTATATTATTCATTGTAACAAATGATATATTAGTTAGAAATATTTATGGATTTAGGCAGTCTACGGATATTTTTGATGTGTTATGAAAATAAATGCCATATACACATTGCATAAATATGGAATACCTTGAATGAAAGCAAAAAAAATGTCATAAGCAAAATTTATTTTATGGATTATCAAGCATATCATTGTGGCTCAACAAAAATATTTTTTTTCCGATATAATAAAAATAAAGTAAAAAAAATTTGACTCTAACATTTGACTCATAATGTCACAATTTCCAGCTAAACTAAGGCAAGTTTTACTGTGAGACACTTTCGCATGACCTAAAAGTTCTAGAAATATATACAATTGGCCAGTCACATTTGAAAAATATCTATATTTTGTTATATAATATACAATATTTTGTAATATATTTATTAATTATACTTAATCTGTTCATTTTTGATAAGCATATAGTGATGTTGACTCTTAATATGAGATTTTAATATTTATTAAGAGTTTATAAATTATAACTAACAATTATAATGTTCTGCTCAAAATTCTAAAATTTTCTAACTTTCAAAATCAAAATGTATATGCATGATAATTTGATTGTCAATTTCTATTTTTCAAAGTAAACTTCTCTTTTTTAATAATGCCACATGAACGCCA